GGGTTTCGGGTTTTGGGTTTCGGAAAAATAAATGCATTTCCAAAATTAGGTTTCGTTATATACCAAAACCTAAAGAGTTTCGGGAGGTTTCGGTTTTGATACCCATGTTTAACAACAGCATTGTACGATATTATTTAAAAGCTTGTGCGACTTGACTTGTCAACATTTTGTGAAACAAATATATGTATGTATATATATCAAATAACCATCATTTCCAATTTCACGTTCCACCTTCCTCCCTAACAATATGACATGTAAAAAATTATTTTCCGGGGATGTGCCGGAAATAACAAATTCTATCATACAATTTTTACGTAATCATTTAAGGTCACTTTATTCATGCGTAATTAATCAATAGGCATTTATGTTTGATTACAATTCCCATACTTTGGGAAGATCCTTTTACGTTTGGAATAGTAAATTCCTGACTACTTATTTATTATTTCTTAATGATGAGGATAAAGTAAGGTTAAAAGGATTAATTTTTCCATCATCATTTAAAAAACCTTTATTTAATTACCCCGGCTTTATTAAAACTTTAAATCAACTCCGAATGCAAAAGCATGTAACGGAATTTATAGAAAATTTAATTGATGATGCCAACCCTAGAACAACGTAATGAAGATACAAAGCTATACGATCTGAAATGCACAATTTATGAATTATTATTTAAATTATTCATAAGTAATGACATTTCTTTAAATAGTTTATATGTAAAAATTTGTCATAGCCAACATGTTCTTAATGTTATGATTTTCAATGAAATATGCAAGAAACCAAAATTTCTATCAGACATCAAATATTTTACATTAGATTTTGATAGGTGTAAAGTTATTCCTAATTTACCGATACCTTCCTTCGAGTACTCCCCATCAGCGATAACTTCAAACAAGCATTTTACAATTTATTTTAATTCGAAAAAGAACTTATCTGAGAGGAATTTAAAATATTTGATTAAATCACAAACGCAACTTTTATCCCTCACACTTTATACTATATCATCAAAAGTAGCTTACTTAATGAGTGCTTTGAAGTATTGTTCTAATACTTTAACTTCAATTAAGCTTAATTCTTGTGATTTTAACGGCATGCCATCATTGAATGGACTTAATTACCTTATACACCTTGAATCACTTCAATTCAAACATTGCAAAGTGATAACAGTTCAGGTTTTTCGACCCTTACTTGAAATTTCTACTCCACTAAAAATCAAAACTTTAACACTAGAGGGTTTAAGTATAGAAATTACTTTTATTCAATCATTGTTTCAAAAAATCTGGGAATACATCTCGGGATTGGAAGAATAAACATTTTTGAATGTATTATCAATCATTGTAATAAAGTTCAATTTCTCCATATATCTGGGATTGTTCATGTGGACATAGTTCAGTTGTTTAAATTAATCACTCACGTTCGCAAACATCTCCAATATCTTTCGCTTCAAATTCGAAATCATCGTCAACCTTGTTTTATTGAGTCGGACTATGAACAACAACTAAGAGTTAGTTCCATGATCTTGACAAATTTGGGTCAAATCTTACCAGATACTTTGAAATATTTAGAATTAAAACTTGTAATTGATCCAATCAAATTGAAAATCTTTTTGGATAATTGTAAACACATTGTTGGTTTAAACAGTCTACTGGTTATGAATAATTCCCAAAATGATAATATTTTTGATGTTTTAAAAGAATTTGTAAGGGAGAAAAAGGTAATGAATTTTGCATATGAGGTTAATTGTTATTTTTCTATTTATGATCATCATGATTTTGGACGTCAGAATTTAGACAATGTAAAGCCTTATAGAGATTTGATTAAAAGAATTTCGTTTTGATGTGATTAGAAAATATTTTATATTACATTATTTTTTTTATTTTGTTTTATCTTAATTGGATTAAGTTTCTCAAATAGGGTAGTTAGTTAAATTTCTAAAGAAAGTTTGATCCAATTATTTTTTCTGCATATAAGGAACAAGGAGGTTTCATTAATCAAAATATATTATTAAATTCTCTAATAATTTTCATTACAAGTATGGCCTCTTAATCGTAAATTCTGTACTTCGTTAAAGTTTTAAAAGAAGTGTATGTTGAGCAGAGCTTATCGATATATAGTCTAGTTTTAATTA